GACGCCTGCTGGGGGCAGCTTCATCTGAAGCCGTTTGCACCGGTCGGCCCCCGCGTTGATGCGACTCGCAGCTCGCTCTCGCGACCGGAGCGGACAGCGGTCCATGTGCTGCTGCTCGGCGGCGGGTGGGCTGTTGGTTGAGCGCCTTGGCTTGCGCAGACGATTGCAGCCACTCCGCACTCTCGAGCACACAGGCCTCCCTGGCCTCCACTACTGAGCTACTGACAAGACACACAAGTGAAAGTATGGCGGCGGCGGCGGCGGAAACAAAGATCTGATAGAGCCGCCGCCTGGGCATTTTGACACCTTGTTGGAGCCCGTGAGGCAGTGTGACTTCACCACCTCCTGTGCAGCGACTCCGGCGGGCGCCATGAGGCTGCCCTGGCGCGCTTCTGCGTGTCAAGCAACTGTCATCGGCCCAAGTTTTGGACTGGGGGTTTCAAGAACAAGAAGCCAAAGCACGGCTGCGTGGGAAGAGGCGTTCACAGACCTTGATAAGACGAAATGCTGGTCTTCACCAAATTTCTCAACAGTCCACCTTCGGGTACAACCGTTGAACGAGGATGGGAGGATAGTACATCCACACGTGCGCGCACGCACACACACACACACACACACACACACACACACACACACACACACACACACACACACACACACACACACACACACACACACACACACACACACACACACACACACACACAGAGAGAGAGAGAGAGAGAGAGAGAGAGAGAGAGAGAGAGAGAGAGAGAGAGAGAGAGAGAGAGAGAGAGAGAGAGAGAGAGAGAGAGAGAGAGAGAGAGAGAGAGATGTATTTGCGTTCACATGCTGATCTCAATGGTCCGTGCGTCCGTCCCTTCCTCCACTCGGCTGCCGGCTGCCCCGCTGACGCCTCGGAAGTTCCAGTCCGTAGGTTGGCACGCTCGCGAATGCCGACGAAGGAGGAGCTCTTCTTAGAGAAGCCCCTATCGGGTGATCTGCATGAGGTGCCCGGGCTCGGAGACGCCGGCATCCGCAAGCTCAACGTGGCGGGCTATGCCACTACGTATCAGTTGATTGGAAAATTTCTCCCCCTCAATCGCAATGAAGAGGAGTTTCTGGCATTTTTGCTCAAGCAGGGCAACACCCGGCCTCATGTCCACAACACGGCCCCGCTAGCTCTATAAGCGCGTAACGGAGAAGGGTTTCCCCTGCCACATTCGCCTCTCGGACCACGTCGTCAAGAACGCAGCCAATATGTTCCATGACACCAAAAAGACCTCTTTTCTTGAAAAAAACTCCTGAGGGGTCCTGAACCTCCACGAAACTGTTTCAGGGGCACCCGGCACAAAAATGCCCCTTCAAACCCAAGGGGATTGAAACCCCCCCACACCCCTTTGGGGAAGTCCTCCATGAATCTCAACCACCCAGACCCCCACAAAAAAACC